AAGCTTCAGGGAGGAAGTGGCATTTGAGCAGGAGGCCTAGTCACTTTATACAGGGAAAGACTGGGGGAGGCCTCTGAGGTGAAGGACGGACCCCGAGCAAGGTAGGGTGTGGGAGAGTGGGTGGGGAAAGCGCATCTAGCCTGGTGGTGCAAGGGCATAATGGGAGGGAGACTTGGGAAAGGAGTTTGAGTTTTATGTTATTATCCTTATAGCTTTGAAATGTGTCTCCTTGAAAATACATCAAATTCAGACTGTCAGAGTCCAGATGCGCCACACTGGACTTGAAGCACTGCATTTTAGTGCACTTGAATCACTTTGATCAAAGCCTTACTTGATGCAGTCTGAGCCCAGAACGGTTCGTTAACGAAAGTCAGGTTGGCTAAAGAAGCCTTAAAGATGATACACGTTCTAAACATTTCATTTTCTAAAATATATGTGTACATTTTTTTTGATTCATGCTACATCTTTTGATAGAGGACCAATGCCCCTTTTTTTGAGTATCAGTCTAACTGGGAGTTTTCGCTTTCTTGACTAAACTACATCCATAATACAACCTCTCCGACTTTTATTTTCTGTTTCTTTAAAGTGGTAGAAGAACGTAAGACATTTACAAAGCAATCTAAGTATAGAAACTTTCTAGATTTTGACCATTTTTCTCTAGCCTTTCAACAATCATATTGCCTTTGACAGTAGTTCTTAGCAACTCACCTTGATTTATAAATTATTTCCAAAGTATTCCACTTAGTTCTCAGAAATAGCAGCTCTTCCTACATGTATGTTGCACTGGTTCAGGTGTGAATTTAGATGATTTTTAACTGACACACACAGCTTTGGGATCAAACAGAAACAGAGTCTCCGTGACCTTCGCTCAGCTGGTGGAAGCAGACACACACGGGTGCACCAAAAAGTAACCTGGTAGGCCACGAACATTCAGCAAGCTCTGAGCATCACTCATGGAACTTCCAAGAGAATCTGGTGAATCTGGCAGTTCACTTAAGGAAAAATCATTTAAAACAAAACAAACAAAAAAAGCCAGATTTTATTTAAAATGACTCAGATGCTCGAATTCTGCAGGAAATAAAAGCCCAGTACCATCAGCAGCATGGAGCAGTGGAAAGAGCACAGGGCTCTGGACAGGGCTCAGTCAAGGTTCTGTGGCCCTCAGCAAAGTTCCCTGGGGCTCCGTCTGCTGCTCTGTAAGAGAAGGTTCTTATGAACATAAAATGATGGCATAAGACACCTAGAATAATGGCTGGGTAAAGGTGACAATCGCTAGTATTTTTTTCGGGCTCATCAACTAGATTCTGTTTGACGGTTTTCTTAAAAGCAGCAGCTTTAGATTCCTGGAGCTAAAAAAGAATCACACGCATGGCCTTTTTGCTTTTTAAATAACTCTATTACATGTATTCTTTGTGATTCTCATGGTTACTGTGTTTCAGACTTGACCACTAAACCTTTCTTTCTTTCTTCCAAAAAAAGGTGTTTCACGGCTTTCACCACAGCTGCATCAGCTTACAGTTACTATCATTATGGTCGAAAAACTGTTCAGGTGATAAAAGGCAGATGAAAGCCATCTATCATCGTTAGCAAGGAAGCAATATACATCGTTGGTGGCAGGGCAAGTGGAAATCTACAGGAGTTTCTGTAATTCGGGGTTCACCTTGGAAAAGGACTTGTCAGAACAAACCATGTCATCAAAATTTAAGTAATGTGCATTGAAAATGAGCTTGATCATGGGCATATGCAGAATTTCCAATGTATTTTTAAATACAAATAAAACTATAATTTAGAATTTTGTATCTTAGGGTTCTTGATTAATTTCTAAGGTACCAAATTATTCCAATTACCGTCAGTCACTTTTTAATACCTTTTTAAGAAACATAGTCCAGAGCATGGAAACTAAAGAGATGCCACTTCTGTTCAACAGAGTTGAGATTGCTTACAAAGCACCCGGGAATTTACTGGGTGTAAGTATCTGTTGGATACAACTTGGCTGCACAGTCTTATGTTTGATTTTTAGAACTGTGTACACACTAATAGTTTGCGTGGTTACTATTTGCTCATTTAGGATAATGACAATAAAGGTAGCTTAGTGATGGATGAAATAGACTTGTGAAGAGATTTAAAACGCAGTAAATTTTGAAAATAATAAGGTCACAGCAGAAGGTATTGAAGTTCAAATTCAGTAGTCTTCCAGCCTCTCAGGTGCCTAACAGTCTGTATCAGGTTAGCAGGTGACACAGGGGTTGAAGTAGGAAAGCGTGGCCATTAGGCTGCACCAGCCAGGGGGCAGTGAGTTATATCCTGCCTTTCGCCGTTTCTAACGTAGCAACGTTTGTATGATGTTGGAACCTGTACTTACATGTTCTGTAAATAATATGAAACTGTATATTTTTCAACGGTTTTTTAAATTTTGGCTATCTTTTGTTAAGATATTAAAGGAATAAAAGAGCTGGAAAAGTGCCTTCAGTGCTGGTGGTCTGTTTAACATGCTGTGATCCTCACTGTTGAAGTTTTTTGATTCCTAAAGTCCATTTAAGTACATCACTTGCACTTGCGTTGTAAAAATCATTTGTTTGGGACCATCTGACTTAAGTCCTTACTCTCACTCCACCGTCCTGTTTGGAAGGGTGGGAGACACAGAGAGAGGGACGAGGAAGACGATGGCTGTTGCTGGTTGCTTCCTCTTAACCGTGGAGGCCTATTGCTGCCCACTGTCCCGGGTGTCCTGTGGGATTGTGCAGTGAGCTTATCTAAGCTGTGTTAAGTTAAGACGCAGAGTTATAAGCAAAATACATGCCTCTTGGTAGTGACATCCTGGGATCAGCAGGCCCCTCTGTTGCATTCGTCCTAGCTTCCTTGTTCCCAGGCTTGAAATGCACTGAAGCCTGCAACCAGGGACAGTGTCACTGAATCCAGTGGAGGGTGTATGAGGGAAGAGGAGGATGACCTGTGGCTGGCCATTCTCCCCTTCTGGAACCCCCTGTGTAGTCTCATAGCTTGCGTGGCGGTTAGGCTGGAGCTGGAATTCCCACCCAAGAGGCACATTGAACACATCTTGGCACCGGTAAAGTGGGAGCACAAAGGTGTTTTAAAATGAGAGAAGAGAACTCAAGATAAAGTAATTATGGGAAAAAATTGGGATTTTGTACTTTGTTATGTTTACTTCCTAGTTCAGTGTTGATGCTATTTGGAGTTACTCATGTCTTGGGCTCATAGTCTCTTTAGTAATGAAGGTCTTAATCTGGCTCTGGTTAATAAACCTCAACCCTTAGAAAAATGGTACAAGTTTCTTGAGGGTTTTGGATATTGGACTGTTATACAATGTGAATTCTGCTAGTTTACAAAACACTGGAAATGTATTAGGCATGTTTGAGTGTATATTCTAATGGAGCCAAGCACGACAAATTCATTTTGGTGCCTCCATATATTGGATTCAATCCTGATAGTAAATTTAAAAAGGCATTCAGATGATTACGTGTCTGAAGTCTGGTAGTCACATTTTTGGCTTTTGCTTTCCAGTTTTTAATCAGGAGCTGGTAGGTATCTTAAAAGATTGCTTAGTCCAATTTTCTTGGTTACATATCTGATGAAACTTGGGATCCACCTTAGAATTTTGGAAAGCCTTTTCAAAACTTTAGACACCTATTGAGGTGAGATTGGGGTATATTGAGTTTCTGCAGCATGGTTTTTGTGCCTCAGCACATTTTGGAAGCAAGATATGTGGGAATCAAACTTGATTTTGTTTTTTTTAATTAAAGATTTTATTTATTTATTAGTCACAAGCAGAGGGGAGGGGCAGAAGCAGACTCCCCACTGAGCAGGGAACCAGACACAGGGTTCAATGCCAGGACCCTGGGATCATGACTTGAGCCAAAGGCAGACACTTAACTGAGCCTCCCAGTTACCCAAACTTGATTTTTTTTTTTTTTTAAGATTTTATTTATTAGAGCATGAGCCTGGGGTGGCGGGGAGGGAGGGAGAGGGAGAAGCAGCCTCTCTGCTGAGCAGGAACTTGACCTGGGGCTGGATGCCAGGACCCTGAGATCATGACCTGAGCCAAAGGCAGACACTTCACCCACTGAGCCACCCAGGTGCCCAAACTTGATTTTTTTTAAACAGAAATAAATGCTGTTTGGGATTGAATTGTCTCCCCCCAAAAGATAATGTTCAGGTTCTAAGCCCTGGTACTTGTGAATGTGACCTTACTTAGAAATGGGATCTTTGCAGACGTAATCATGTTAGGACGAAGTCCTACTGGATTTGTGTGGGCCATAATCTAATGCCTGCTGTCCTTATCAGAAGACAGAAGCTTGGAGGGTATGTGCTATGGTGAGTGCCGTGAAATGTTTAAGCCTGATGATTCACAGACCTGTACCCCTGGGACACATAATACATTATATGTTAATAAAAATAATTTTAAAAAGAGAAGTTTGACTTCTGGGTATATCCTGGAAGGAAATGAAATCATCTTGAAGATATGCACTCTGTGTTCACCGCAGCATTATTTACAATAGCCAAGACATGGAAGGAACCCAAGTGTCAATGGATGAATGGATAAAATGTGGTATAAATACACAGACACACAGAGTGATGTTTATTATCCAGCCATAAAAATGGAAACCCTGCCATTTGTAACAACGTAGATGGAACTTGAGGGCATTATACCAAAGTGAGATAAGGCAGAGTAGGACAAATTCTGTATGATTCCACTTATATGTGAAATCTTAAAAACAAAAAACAAAAAACCCAACTCCTAGAAACAGCAATAGATTGGTGGTTCATACGGGTGGGAGACAATGGGTGAATGTGGTAAAAGGGTACAAACTTCCAGTTATGAGTAAGTTCTGGAAATGATAATGATCCCCAGAAGACAGCACAATGATTATAGTTAATAATGTATACCTGAAAGTTGCTTAGAAAGTAGGTCTTCAAAGTTCTTACCACACACAAAAAGGTACCCATGTGAAGTGAAGGGAACCTTTTTATAATCATTTCCCAATATATACGTGTATCAAATCGGGTTGCACACCATGAACTTACACAAAGTTATATGTCAGTTATATCTCTGTAAAGATGGGGGGAGAAATATTTTCTTAAAGAGGGAAATTTGGACGCAGAGAATGCCATAAGATAATGAAGGCATCAATTGGATTTATTTGCAAACCAAGGAGCACCCAGGACAGCTAGCAACCAGAACAGGCATGGAACAGTTCTGAGTCTCCAGAAGAAACCACTCCTGCTGATAACCTTGGTTGTGGTTTTCTGGCCTGAACCCTAAGAACAGATTTCTGTTGTTTTAACCCACCTAATTTGTGGTAATTGTTCCAGTAGTCACAGAAAAGTGAAATAAATACTTAGAAAATTAAAATCTAGAAGTAATGACACACATTGTAATTTTATAAAAAACGGTTTTTTAACATTGGTATACAAGTGAAGAGGGGTGTTGAAAGGCGTTGCCCACACTCAGATACAAATCATGAAGGCACTGTTTGATGCAATGGAGAGCAAATGCTTTGGCTTCTAGCTAGAGCCTTGACGTTCTTTTTTGTTCATCTCTTCACTTCATCACTGGAAGTGATCCTATTGCTCTTTCTTAAGAAAAGGAGTTCATAGTTTCTTTGACCACTTACACTATGGAGAAGTCCAGTAGACAATGACTTTAAAAAGGACAGCTTGTCCTTGTGTTTCACAGAGGTTCCCAGAAGACTGCAGTTTTAACTACAAAGCTAAAAGCACATTTTTTTGCCAAGAGACGCAATAAACCCCAGGCAGCCTCAGGAAACATAACCAGTAGTTCTCCCTTACCCCAGTTCTCAGATTAAGAATCCACAGGAGTTGATTCCTTGAATACAACCTGCTTTAGCCAGAAGCTTGACCAGAGGGAACGTCCCTGAAATGACTTGAGGATGTCACTTCCAGAATGGCAAAAGAGACTGAATTGTGTGAACTGTTTTATCTCTTCCTACTTACACACCCAATCTATTCGACTGGACACGAAGGGGCACTGACTGCTGAAAAACACAAATAACACACAAGGCTGTGCTGTGGCAACGGGAGTGGTCTGGTGTGAATTGTCACATTTCCGGGCACAGAGAAGGCAGCAGGGAAAGCAGTGGTTCCCCGGACAGAGAAACTGCATGGCAAGTTCCCTTTGTGCTGCAAGAGTGCTGGCTTCACAGAAATTCACAGAGGCATTCTGAGCTGACAGGGTCCTCTTTGACCCTCTGTCTCTTCTTTTCTAAACACGGGCGGCTAGTTCTTAAGCTCTGGTGGAGGAGGGGGTGCAGAGCTAACTGAGCGTCTGGAGCTTCAGCGGGTAGTCGAAGGCTGGGTTTTTGTAGGCCACCAGGTGCGTGTCGTAGCGCTGCGGGCGTGCCCTTCTGCTGCGGTGGCACAGACATGCGGCCAGCAGCAGGGTGGTGACGAGCAGGAGGCCGCAGGCAGCGCACAGCCCTGCGAAGACCAGCACAAAGCTGGGCTTGGTGGTGAAGGCGGCGCACGCCCGCGTCCAGCCCGAGGCCTGGACAGGCTGGCTCAGGCCCGCGCGGTTGGCGGCCAGGACGCACACGCGGTACATGGTGCCCGGTGAGAGCCCATACAGGGGGTGCTGCCGGGCGGTGGCATAGATGTCCGCCACCACTGTCACCGACTGGTTTTCCGCCCAGCCCTCAGGAGAGTAGTGGATTTGGTAGCCGTGCACCACCGAGTTGGGGGCGCACCAGTGCACGAGGGCCGACGTGTCGGTGGTCTCGGTCACTGCCTGCAGCCTGGGGGGGTCCGGGAGGGTGTCCTCCCCGCTGAGCCCGGGGCATCGACACCGCAAGCGTCTTTGCAGGTCCGCGCACGGGGTCTGCAGGTGCTTGCAGGGGTGGTAATCACAGGGGACATCCTGGGGAGGCGCTCCCACCTCCTCCTTCTGCCCCTCCTCCTCCTCCTCACTGGAGTCGTCCAACAGCAAGACTGGAATCGCGCCCTCAGAAGGACTCGGGTGAGGCGCCTGCAGGGTGGCCTGTGCCCTGTAGTCAGGCTGGGGCGTCTGCACCCGGCTCCAGGGGGTAGAGAAGAGCCCAGGGTGTTTGCCGGCCGAGGGGGTGGAAGCAGCTGACACGTGAGGCGCATGGACCAGCATGTCAGCGTGCTCTTGGTGCTCTGCCCCAGCTGTGCTTGCAGCCCTGCGCAGAGCGCTGGAGGTGCTAGAATCTGCTGTGGGGATGGCCGTGGAGCCGACGGTCCCCACCTTGATGCCACTGTGGGACCATGCACTTTGTGTGGCGGAATCCGCGGGGAAGGAGGGGGGCTTGGTGACACTCTGTCCAGCTTCCACAGGTCGAGTGGAGGGGGCTGTGCTCCATGGGGTGGTGAGACCCTGCGTAGATGGTTGGTGGGTGAAGGGAACAGCCTGGGGCGAGCTGGAATTGAGGGTGGTGCTTTGGTCTAGATGGCACACAGTGGGCAGCTGGGACAGCGAAAGAGGGGCTGAGAAGGTGTCTCGGGATCCTGAAGCCGGTACACACACAGTGTCTGCTGCCCTAGAGGGGAGACCAACCAGTTAGAAGGTGTTTGAGTCCTCAGTGCAGACAATCCCGCTCATCAAACCCAAATATGTCTGCTAGGTCCCGCCGGCCACACACTCTCCATCCTTCACTTCCCTGACCCCTAGGGCAACCAGTGGAGTAGGCTTCCCTCATCATTTCCGTTGGGCAGAGAAAGAAACAGAAGCTCAGCAAAAGCAACTAACTGGGATGCCTGGGTGACTCAGTGGGTTAAGCCTCTGCCTTTGGCTCAGGTCATGATCTCAGGGTCCTGGGATGGAGCCCCATGTTGGGCTCTCTGCTCAGCGGGGAGCCTGCTCCCCCCCGCCCCGCCTGCCTCTCTGCCTATTTGTGATCTCTGTCAAATAAATAAATAAGATCTTAAAAAAAAAAAAGGAACTAATTGCCCAAGATAGCAAGTGGCAGAACCTAAACCCAGGGCAGGTTTGTGTGGTAGTTCTGATTCTCCAAGTGTAGTCTGCCATTTTGTTGTCACCTATCTACTTCCGGGCTGAGTACTAGTAATAATACTCATACCAGCTAACATTTTCTGAGTTCTTGCCATATGCCAGTAACTACTGTTAGCACTTTACTGTATCAACTAATTTAATCTTTATAGCCTTATGAGGTAGCCACTATTCTCCCGATTTTACGATGGGGAACAGAGGCACAGAGAAGTTCAGTAATGCAGCCAAAATCAACAGTAGTAAGTGGTGTGCAGAGGCTACACTCTCAGTCTCTTCATTAATACTGTAATGAGACCCTTCCCTGCAAAGGGCCTGGGTCCTTATCTTTGGAGATAACATGAGGGGGTGGGGGGTAGACAGATCCCCACTTCACAGCTGGGTTTGGGTGGAACATAAAAAAAAAAAAAAAAAAGCACAGGATGGAGGGAGGTGTCTCCTAAAGTGAGCTAGAGGGGCTGGTGGAGCTGGTTTGAGTGTTTTCTGGTAGCCAGCCTGAGCATGGCTCCCCATGGCAAAAACAGCTCTTCTAGCCAACAGTCAATGGGAAGTCCTTGAAGGACTTCTTTTTCCCTGTCCCACAAGAGCTCTGTAAGCCCATTGGCCTTGGGCTGAATGATTCAGGGGACCAGGCTGCATCTTGGGGACTCACTAGTGGGGCCCAGTAGTTAAGAGCACCATTTTGGAGGCAGATAGATCCTGCTTCCTCCACCCAACGGCTGCATGAACCCAAGCAAGCACTTCATCTCTTTGGGCCCCAACCCACCCATCAGTAAAATGGAACACAGATAAGCCTGTTTCAGCAGAGACAATCTAGCTGTTGACTTAGCCCATTTCCCCCCCTACTGGGCATAAACCTAGACTACATTACCCAGCCTCCCCTGTAGTAGGTGTGGCCTGTGACCGACATCTGGCCAATGAGATGCGAGTGGAGATGAGAGGGCCCACCTCCTGTCTTGACCCATTAAAACCATCCTGTCCCTCCATGCTCTCCCTGCCACTCTGCCAACCTGCTCAAGAAGGGCAAGCCATAAGCTGTGAGAATTTCGGCTCACCTCTTAGTCATCTGCTTTGTAAATGTGTTACCTGCTTAGGACAGTCCTCTTTGCATCCCTGAGGAGCCAGGACAATTCACAGCTGCAAATGAGGGGGTTGCCAAAGAGGCTGATGGACAGGACTTGGGAGGAATGCAGGCTCCACGGAGGGAAAGAACTCAAGTTGCAGCTGAAACATAAAAAAATCAAGTCAGGCTTTAAAAACCTAGTCAAAACTATTGCCAGAGAGCCATGGTGGTGTCACTGCAAAACCATTCTGTTAGGGCTTAGAGGATACTACTTTGGACGAAACTCTTTAATGACCTTGGACTTTTTTTTTTTTTGTCATCTGTAAAGTGGAGATACCAACCAACTCAGTCACGCTCACCCCTCCTATCCAATGGAGACAGTATTCCCCTGCCCATGTGCTATATCGCCAAGAGTCTATGACAATGAAACCGCTTATAAGTGTACATCTCTACCCGAAAGTAAGATATTGTTATTATAAACCAGTCATAAGAAATGGCAGAAGCTCTTAATGAGAACACTCTGGAATATGGGCTATTGCAGTTAAGCTATTGCTGATGGTACTCAACACTAGTCCTTTGAACGATGCCTTGCTGGAGTGTATCAAGCTCTCGCTGAGAAGAAATTTCCCCAAAACTTAGTAGCTTAAAACAACAATTATCTGTTCTTTCTCCTGATTCTGTGGTTCTTGTGGTCCAAGCCAGCTCAGCTGGGGCTGGAAGATCTAGGACAGCCTCACATATATGGAGCCTCAACTAGGTTTGCTGGGGCCTCCCTCCATATACTCATCATTCAGGAGGCTAGCCCAGCCTAGTGCACAGGGTGGTAGAGGGGGGTGAGGGAGGAGGGCTCCCAGGTGGGCTACCCAGGAAGGGAAAAGCTCCAATCCTCAACTGCTTTCAAGCCTCTGCTAGGGTCACTTTTGCTAATGTCCCACTTGCCTAAGCAAGTCACATGGCCAAGTGCAGCTTCAAGAGGTGGAGGATAGACTCCAGTTCTTGATGGGAGGAGCTGCCAAGTCACGTTGCAAGGAGTATGTCCACACGGAAACGTAAAGCACATATATGAATATATACATATATGCATGCTTGCTTTCAGCCGATTTCACAGAGCCAGAGTGGAAATCTTAGAATCAGAGATCACTTAGCACTTCAGCATCCCAAGAAAATATTTTTAATTTTGCCTGAAGGGGGAGAGGGGAAAAGGATTGTCATCTTTTTGAGCAGGTAAGGTTCCCCAGGGCTTTACAGTCATTATCTCAGTGACATCATTATGACAAATCAGTGAGAGAATGATATTCTGCTCCTTCTACAGATAAGGAAAATGAATCCTTTCCTTATCCGGCGGCCCTTTCTGCCACCAGTGCAGCTTGCATGCGATGAAATCAATTCGAGGGACGCCTGGGTGGCTCAGTTGGTTAAGCAGCTGCCTTCGGCTCGGGTCATGATCCCAGCGTCCTGGGATCGAGTCCCACATCGGGCTCCTTGCTCGTCAGGGAGCCTGCTTCTCCCTCTGCCTCTGCCTGCCATTCTGTCTGCCTGTGCTCGCTCTCTCTCCCTCTCTCTCTCTGACAAATAAATAAATAAAATCTTTAAAAAAAAAAAAAAATCAATTCGAATCACCACCTACATGGAGGTACGGGAGGGCCTGGCTCACATCCTGGTGTGGGTCGCATTGTAACTTACAGAGCCCTAGTGTGAAAGGAGGTTCATTTGCTCTCCTAAATAACCTATTTTCGATTTTTTTTTTTTTTTTTTAGATTTTATTTGACGGAGATCACAAGTAGGCAGAGGCAGGCGGGGCGAGATGGGGGGTGGGAAGCAGGCTCCCCGCTCAGCAGAGAGCCCGATGTGGGACTCGATCCCAGGACCCTGGGATAATGACCTAAGCAGAAGGCAGAGGCTTTAACCCACTGAGCCACCCAGGTGCCCCCCCCTTTTAAGATTTTATTTATTTGGCACAGAGAGAGAGAACAAGTAGGGGGAACAGCAGGGAGTGGGAGAAGCAGACTCCCCGCTGAGCAGAGAGCCCAACATGGGGCTCAATCCCAGGATGCTGGGATCATGATCTGAGTTGAAGGCAGATGCTTAAACAACTGAGCCACTCAGGTGCCCCCTCTTTTCACTTCTTTGCTGAACTACTGCCCCGCCCTCCTGCATGTCAGAGGGGACTGTGGAAGGCTCTGGGCACACTGGGTGGGCAGAACAGCCAGGAAGGTGGCCATCCCCTCACTGGTGGGAGGTGGCCATGCCAGGGCACCCAATATGACTATTTAACACAGGCCCCCTAGGGAAGGCTGTGGGTGAGCTAAGGAGAGCAGAGAGTAGGCCAGGCTAAAAGTGGGGAGAGGGACCAGCAGGGCAGATGGAGACACTTGAGAGCACCAAGAAAGCAAGTGGCTGGCTCCTTCCCCACCCCCTGGCTAGAACACAAGTGTTACAGTGGGGGTGGGGGAGCCTAAGATGAGCCAGAGGGATTAAACCTTCTCCTTCGGCCACAGAAGGCACTGCAAGGTTTTCATTTGGCAGGAGACTCAATCAGATTATGATTTAGACAGACCTCTTGGCTGAATGTGGTGACTGGATGGTAAGTGTTCTTACCCTGGGGTCCGCGGAGGTGGGGTGTGTGACCAGGGATGGGGTCAGGATTTGAGCCGAGGCAGCATGGCTCCACATCTGATACCTTCCATATGAGTCTGAGGCTCAGAAGAGGAGTCGGAGCCCGAGAGGCTAATAACCCTCTCACCAACAGCACTACCACCACCATCATCATCACGATTACCCTCACTGTCCCCAATTCACCATCATTACCAACAACATCACCGTCACCACCATCACTGTCACGGCCATCATCCCCATCACCTTCTTTACCACCACTGTATCATCTTCATGAACGGTACAGCAAGTACCGTAATAGGTCAGGCACTGAGCTAAGTGCTCTGCGTGTTCTGTTTCCTTTGTTCCCACGCCAAACCCCAAAGTGAATACTCGGGTTATGGCTGGTGCTAGCAGAGAAAAGAGAAAAGTGGCTACTTTGAAAGGTGATGAGGGGCAAAGTTGCTTCAGGGGTCCAGATGTGGGCCCCCAGGAAAGGAGGTGGTCTGGGCTCACCTTCATTTTTTTTTAAGATTTTATTTATTTATTTGACAGAGATCACAAGTAGGCAGAGAGGCAGGCAGAGAGAGAGAGGAAGGGAAGCAGGCTCCCTGCTGAACAGAGAGCCCGACGCAGGGCTCGATCCCAGGACCCTGGGATTATGACCTGAGCTGAAGGCAGAGGCTCTAACCCACTGAGCCACCCAGGCGCCCCTGGGCTCACCTTCAAAGGTATGCTGCCCTTCCTGCAGAAGTCAGGTCAGGAGGGTGAGTGCAGTGACACTTTGGACAACCAGGCCTGAAAGGACAGACCCTGGGTCCCAACTGCAAGTAGGACCGTTCTGTCCTCTCACATTTCCTCCCTAGACCCATTCAAACCTCGGAAGGGCTGAACTGCATAAACCCCTGCAGGTGGGTGGGGGGAAGCAGGTGGATCCAGTAACAGAAGACCCTGATGCCTCCTGCCCTCTTCCCACAGCAAGTTTCTCAGCCTGGGCTTAAAGGAAACTTTACACGCATGAGAGTTTGGAGTTTTACTCTTACTCTGGACAAGACTGAGTTGCATGTTTATTAGGCCAATGGACTATCTGGTACCCGATCAAGACATCACCCAAAGGAGGAAGAAGAACAGAAATCCAGGGAGGATGCAAAGGAGAAGAGGGAGAGAAATGAAGTTCTGGTTAGCGCTATAAATGGTTATATGTGTTCAATTTAGTGTAATGGGCAGAAATCAGTTACGGGATCCACATGTGTCTTAGAAAACACTTCTGGGGAGGCGCCTGGGTGGCTCAGTGGGGTAAGCCTCTGCTTTTGGACCAAGTCATGATATCAGGGTCCTGGGATCGAGCCCCGCATCGGGCTCTCTGCTCAGCAGGGAACCTGCTTCCTCCTCTCTCTCTGCCTGCCTCTCTGCCTACTTGTGACCTCCGTCTGTCAAATAAATAAATAAAATATTTTAAAAAAAGAAGAAGAAAGAAAACACTTACTTCTGGAATAGAAGGACCTGTAGGCGAGGAGTGTCTTGGAAGAGCTGTGTGTGGACAGAAGTCAGGGCGGACGAGTCTTGACAATCCAGCTGCTGCAGGTTGGGGGTCATCTTGAAAACAGCCGCCTCCAGGATCCGCAGCCTGGGCATCTTCCTCAGATGGAGAGATGTGAGCTTCGGCAGGTCTCTGATCCACCCTGACCGAACTGAAATACAGAGGGGGAAACTGCCCACTACCCAGGAAGGCACAAACCCGTGAGGCCAGCACAGCATTAAGGAAAGAAGGAGACGGACGAGGTGAGTCATAAAGGTCATTGATGAGCATGGACAATTAACAGCTTTGGGAATCTCAGAAGCATAGACCATTTCAGTGGGAAGAGCCCTCAGAGACTCACTAGGCTGCCTGCCTGCCTTCTAGCCCTGGGGCAGCTAAAGTCAGAGAGGAGGAGGACAGGCCCAGGGCCACACAGCTGGGGAGGGATGGCGTGAGGACGTGAACCCAGGACACTGTCTCCAAGGCCGCTGTTGCCCATCCTCTTGTTAAACTTCACAGGGAAATACCCCAGATTTCACTCTGATGGCTACCAGAAGTGGGGATGATTTTGAGAGGGGTAAGGGAGGGGGAGAGGAGATCAAGGCCGAAACCTAATTTTGTGGCTCCCCTAACAAATGGAGAATGTGCTACTTTCCCTGTTTTCCATTCTCGCTCTTTTTTTCTGTCCACGGTGGAATAGGTGATTATAGGCATATATAGTGTTGTTGTTGTTTTTAAATAAAACCACCCTAGTGAATCAGTCAAAACATGCCAAGTGCATGTGTCTTGTTTGAAGATTCAACGTTCACAGAAACCACTTGAGCCAAACCAAGTAGAAAGATCAACGAATTCATGCTCAGGTTAACTGCGTGCTTGGTGCTAACTTCATTCATTACTCAGCCTCGAAGCGATCCCACTTCCCCATTCTACAAGCATTTGTCAGCTCCGCTAGGTAGCAGTAAACAGAGTGGCTAAGGCTGGGCTCTGGGCCCGAATGCCCGGGCTCAGATTTGGAGTCATCACTTAAACCGCGGGCCGCTCATTCCCCTGTCCGCGCCTTGGTTCCCTCCTAAGGAAAGCAGAGATCCCTACTAACAGTCCCCACCACTCGGCCCTCAGAAGTTAACCACCCTGTGCCCTTCGAACCGGGCTGTTGGGCTCTGCAAACCGAGGTGGGGCCCTTTCTGAGCCACACGGGGAGCTCGGTGCCCTGGTCGCTGCCCCACCCCCACCCCGGAGGAAGCTCATGGCCCAGCACCGGGAGCGCCCGCCCAGCCCGGCTCCGAACTCCCGGCGCCGCCCGGACTCACCGCGCTCCAGGAACGTGCCGCTGAGGTCCAGGACCTCGAGCGCGCCGCCCGCTCCAGCGAAGGCCCCGTCGGCGATACCCGCCCCCGGGTCGCGGCCCAGCGCGGTGCCGGAGAGGTTGAGGAGGCGCAGCGCCGGGAGGCAGGCGAAGGCCTCGGGCTGCAGCGCCTGCAGCGGGTTTCCGGCGAGCGCTAGCGAGCGGAGGCCGGGCAGCGCGGGCCCGGCGCACGGCGGCAGCGTGGCCAGCCGGTTGTAGCTGAGGTCCAGCGTGTGCAGCGCCGCCGGCCCGCCGGGGCCCCAGCGCAGCGCGGCGATGCGGTTGTGGCGCAGCGTCAGCGCCTGCAGCCGCGGCAGGGCGCCGAGCTCTGCCGCGCTCAGGGCGCGCAGCAGGTTGTGGCTGGCGTCTAGGCTGCGCAGCGCGGGCGGCAGGCAGTTGGGCAGGCGCTCCAGGCTGCGGTTCGCCAGGGTCAAGGTCGACGCTCCCGCGGCGGGCAGCCCCTCGCAGGGCGAGACCGTGGCGTTGGCGGTCCCGCTTTCCCGAGAGTCCTGCCGAGTCAGCCGGAAAAGCGGGCCCCTCTCCTGGGGAGGCCCTGCCCAGCAGAGGTGCAGCGCAGTGGGCAGCAGCAGCGGCAGGGGCAGCAGGACCCACCACATGGTGCGTGGCTGCGGAGAGAACAGCGGGACAGTCCCTTCAATGCGCAGAAACCCCGAACGAAGGGGCAGACGTGGCGCTCTACCCTCCCGCTCTGCGGAGAAGCACAAGGGCTGGCTGTTCCCTGAAGGATGGGACAGGGATGAGGGGGTGTACCTGTGGCACCTCGTGCCCTTCCCGCTCCCAGATGCCTTTCCCTCTCCCAGATGCCTTTCCCTCTAATTCACTTGTGGGTTAGCATCCACGAGTGACTTCTTGCAGAAGGCCTCCTACGTCTGTCCCCTCGGCCCGAACTTCCAAGTAACCTCCTCCCTTGTCCCCATTGCATGAGTTTCTGGAGGGAAGAGACTGTGTCCTTTATTGCCGTAAACTTTCCCCAGGTGCACAGATGCTGCTCCAGAAACGTCTATTAATAATGAGCCGGTGAACGACTTCAGTCAGGAGAAACTCTGCTGGAACAGGAACATGGGACTTACAGAAGATTCTGTCAATTCCAACAAAACTCAGTTGCCTCAGTTTTTCCCCTTAGAACGAACGGGCCAGCCACAGGTGAGTCGGATTTGCGTTTGACCTGGTTTGCAGGTCATGGTTTAAAATGAGTTCTGAGGGCAGAACTTTCTCTTCAGATGGTACTTGAGATGGTACTCCGAGTTGCCTTTTGGGAGGAAAAGAGCCCCCAGAAAGCTGGGAGGATTGGAAACCTGGACTCAACGGTCATAGCAACAAAAGCCAGAGCCCCTGAGCTCAGCCTTGCCCTGAAGGGGTGGGTGAAGCCTTCTGGGGTGGAGTTTCTAGAATCCTCAGAATTTCTTAGGACAGTTGGGAGATCAGGTAGGGGTAGATCAAAAACCCTTTCACATGGCCCCATCTCTGCAGGTGTGTATCCTTTACCACTGTCTCTCCCGACCTCCAGGTTTCTGAGCAGCCACCCAGGGGAGGGGCTTCTCTCTTGCTAGTTGGGGGTCCAGGCAATGAGAAGGATCCTGGAAACTGGGGCCAGGAGTCCATGCGTCTGGCAATATGTCATACTCACCCTAAGCTGTCCTTTTGGAGTGTGGCACCCCTTTGCAGTCCTCTATCTTATAGATTCCAGAGGTCCGTGACTTAGACAGCAGCTCTGCTCTGAATTCCAGAGGGAGGCCTGTTTCCCAGGTACCCCTGCTCCAGGCCCCACCCACTGAGAGGGCCTGAGATACTCCAGTCCCTGCAGCTCCTCCTTCCCCACCAAGACTGTGGTTCTTAGCTAACACTTTCAAGGCCTGTTTCCCTCCTTCCCTGCGCTGGGCCTGGGCCTGCCCCTTTCTAGGCCTGGCACTTCCTTCCTGCCCTCCCCCATCTTTACCTTTCCCTACTCTGCCTTTCCAGAGCCTGACAAAGGGAGGGAGGCAGCTCTCCCTGGCCAAGGAGACGGTGCTAAGGGGTGCAGTGAGGGAGAGGAATCTGATCTTCCTGCCCTAACACAGCTGATGAAAACCCCTCAACTTAGAAACCCCAAGGGGAAACTCCACTGGGGCCGACCCTCCCTCTCCGGGAGCTTTGTACTATCACTGGGTAAGCTTTGCTGCCCACTGCACTTCATCTGGTCGACCTGTTCATTCTTCAAAGCAGTGGGACCAAGAACCATGGACTCTAAAGGCAGAGAAATCCCACAACTAAACCAGATCAGGCGTTCCCAGGAATCGTTAGATTGGTTTCTCTGGGCCCCAGTTTGGTGACAGCATGGGTGTGCGTTTCTCTGTTTATCTTGTGAAGAGAAATAAAGATGGTGGAAATGCAGAAAGAAGGTTGCTGCCCTGTGCATGGCTGGGGCAATTGATACTGGCTACCAAGAGGTCTCCCAGGCTACCCAGGTCTCCCCAAAACAGTGCTGATGTTAAATATGCTTTGTTTAGTGCAGACAGAGCCCTCCTCCCCCAGAGATCCAAGACTGGTCATTTTGTCTGAGAGCCTTTGAGCTCCATCCCTCATCTCTTTTTCTGACCTCCCTCCTTGCACCTTCCCCCCCCCCCCCCCCCCCCCGCCCCAGCCCGTTAATCATCCCCAGCATTGTGTACACAGACAAGGACCAGAACTTCATGGATCTTTCCTCCTGTCAGTCCTTATCTGAGCAGCCTTGAGGAACTCCAGGACACCTCGGAAACTGGCATGTTGTGTTAATTGGATAATTGCAAGTCCCCTGGGATCTCCTTTGAGGACTTCTCTACTGAAAGCCTCAAAATATCAGCCTAAGTGCCAGCCCGGGTCTTGCTGCTCAGAAGCATTCCTTCATCTGCCCTAGGTGGGGGAGGGGAGAGGCCTGTTCTACACAACCCTGTCTGAGGCAATGCAAGTCCAGGGTCCAGGCCCCAGAGCCCCTCCCTGCCAACTTTCTCTCGGTTAAACCAGCCAGGTCAACCCTCTAGGCCAGGAGTGGTTTGGGGAGCACAGGCAAGGCTCTCAGATGAGAGATGAGAGGGGTCAAACTGAATGAAACAGAGACACTGAAGAGAAAGGAAGCTGCCCCCCCACATATAAGCCTATAAAAGAGGATCCCAGGGAGCAATGCTGGGTCTTCCTCTGCACACCAGTGGGGCAAGGGGGCTGAGGAACCCCACTAAGGTCATTTCCCTCTACTTGCCCAGAACCCCAGGCCTTCTGAGCCAACGTCTTCTCCCTGCTGCTTGCTGGCTAGCTCACCCATGGTGGCAAAGGCCCGGCCTGGGCAGGATGACTTGATGTCTGAGCTTGACCATCTGGTTTGCTCTTGTCATAGCCAACCCAAGCAAACACATCCTTGGTGGGCTGCCCAGTTGGGATTTTGAGCTGGGGAGGTTGGTGGCAGACTCTTCATGGCAGAGTTTGCTTCCTGGTCTTGCCCAGGTGGCCAGTTGGCTTTGCCCCAGTGGGTACCACAGCTTGTCACCACAGCCATCTTTTAAAAATCCGGCACTAAAAAAAATAAAATAAATAAAATAAAAAATCCGGCATCTACTATAGTCAGAGCCTAGTGCCATATGCATGTACTATTATTCCCATGGTACAGATAAGGAAACTGAGGTTCACAGGTGCTGCCTAGGTTCTGGAGCACACAACTAGCTAGTCTGTCTGGCTTAACCACTGCTTTATATTGCCTTCCATAGGCCTCAGCATTTGACCATATAAAATGCCCTGTAAGCACAAGAGAACTTTTTCCAAATATTTAGCTAGCCCAAATCATGCAAGAAGCTAGGACAGTTGGGAAATTCCTTTTCATAGGTGAGCAGCTCATTTTCAGAAGAAACAGAGCCAGCTTCTTGCACCCTCGAGGGCCCAGGACAGAGGCAGACATCTGGCCAGGGCCTCTGGGTACCTCTCAGGATGCCCCGGCCTTCTTCTTCAACCCCTTCTCTTCTAGCACCTCTGGGAGGTTAGGAAAAGATGACTGAAGAGTTCGTCCCCTGCCCCCCCTCCCCCGCACAAGGATGCTAAGGTCCCACAACAAAGTCCTGGGACCAACAAGTTTGCCATGCCACACCAAATGCCGCGCCATGTCCTGTCCTCCATCACTTTACCCAGGTGGCTCCCTCTGCCGAGATGCTCTCCGCCTTGACCACCTGACTCCCCATCTAAGCTTACTCTTCCATATCTACTGCGGGTCCTCTTGAGAGTTGACCTTGAGGGGCACCTGGGTGGCTCAGTCAGCTGAGTGTTTGCCTTTGGCTCAGGTCATGATCGCAGGGTCCTAGGATTGAGCCCCATGTAGGGGCTCTGTTCCGAGGGGTGTCTGCTTCTCTCTCTCCCTCAGTGATGGCTCCCTCTCTCTTTCTCTCAAATAAATAAATAAATAAAATCTTCCAAAAAGAGAGAGAAAAGAGTTGACCTTGAGATAAGGACCTGGGGGCAGGTAGTTTTATTTGAGAGGTGACCCGAGGAGCATGGAGGGGAGCAGGAAGTGAGACAGGGAAGGGAAGGCACTGCAGCTGTGTTAGTGAGCAGCTCAGTCAATCCCACTGGGACCCCCTGAGAGACGTGAGGGGAAGCACCCCGCAGGAGGAAGTGGTGAGAAATTGGGGCTATTTACTCACTAGCTTCTGCTTCTTGTTGGCTCAAGGGTTCTTCTGTGGCTTTAAGTCCCTGACTCCTGGTTTGTCCTGAGCACGAGTTGAACAAATCTGATAGGAGTGGGCGTCGACAACGTCAGCAACAGCACCCTTCATGATTTTGCCCAGGCAGGCTCTCCCTTGGTGGGCCTCTCCCAGGTGACCCAGGCTAACTGCCATTAGGTGGGTTGGCAAGTCTTCTCCTTAATATAGGCATTAAACTTCCTGAGACTTGAGCCATGTTGTTGTTCTCAGCAGCCCTGGTGCCCAGGACTGAACCTGGCACTTGTGAGAAGCATTGCACAAATGCGTAAGAAGACTACTCAGCGAGTCACAGTGTCCTCCGCAGTGACCAGGAGAGGATGGGACAGGACTCCAAACAGTAAACACTGAATTCCCAGGCCTCCCAGCATCCCAGCATCAAAAGAGCTCAGGTGAGGGTGGACAAGGGGTCTGGTGGGTGGGATGGGGTTGGAGGGAGAGAACTGAGTCACAAAGATTTTTCCAACCCAGATTCCCCACACTCTTACGGATTTGGGGAGGAAAGATCTCATGGAAGTAGATCACAAGGTCAGAGTGTTAGTGAAACCAAAGCCTGCAGGGGGAAAAAAAGAAAAGAGCCAGCAATTAATTATACACCTGGCCACACTTGTTTTCTGGACTTAGTTCAAAATCAGACATGTGGATTCTTGGCCTTAAAAGTGCCTTTACGGGGCACCTGGGTGGCTCAGTGGGTTAAGCCTCTGCCTTCGGCTCAGGTCATGATCTCAGGGTCCTGGGATCGAGTCCCGCATCGGGCTCTCTGCTCGGCGGAGAACCTGCTTCCTCCTCTGTCTCTCTCTCTGCCTGTCTCTCTGACTACTTGTGATCTCTCTCTGTGAAATAAATAAATAAAATCTTAAAAAAAAAAAAAAAAAGAAAAAGTGCCTTTACAACTTGTCTGG